CAAATGATACACGTGTTTGGAACATCCCTGGTGTACTGAGCATTCCAACCTTTCATAAATGTTATCGCCTTTGTTCGCAGTGAAGTGGTACATCACCCACTGGGTGATTATGAATATTAAAATAAAGAAAATTGTGCTGAGCACTCAGCCCACGGAAAAAATGAAACTTTAAACTCGAATTTACCGCAAAAAAATGAAAAATAAATCAAAATAAAGGCATGATTAACGTGAACATAAACGCAGTTTTGGTCTACTCTGGGGTAGTAACAGGAGGAGCGGGCAGGGGGAGGGGAGGAGGTGGAGTGGGACAGAAAACCAAAACTTCTGTACAATACTTCTCCATTTTATAAAAAATACGCCAAAACAAGACTACTGGAAACTCCGATTCAAAAAAAGATGGCGAAAAACACATACCAACTTGTACGCCAATTGAAACTCCTAGGGCGCTGAATTGTTCGCCAATCTGAAAGGCCAACTCTCTGGTTGGGGTGAGCACTAGGGCGAACAATTTCTGCGGTGTTTCCAGCAGCGCCTGCAATATCGGCAGGGCGAAAGCAGCAGTTTTCCCGGATCTGTAAATTTCAAACTCTTTTGCGTTTCAGTTTATCTATTACTTCATCTTCATGCATTACTTTACTCGCTCACCACTGCTGGCCCTTTTTTTTATTTTTATGCGTTTTGTGCTGTGTAACAGCAGCACAAAACGCACACTGCCACGACGTTGTCTGTGTGTGTTTGTGTGTGTCCGCAACTTTCAACTACAAAAGCTAAGAAGCTGAAAATTTAGAGCAGCATTCCCCACCCAAGTGTAACCTCGCAAATTTAAATTCAGCTTCCTCGTACCCACGGGTCACACGTACGGACCCGTGAAAGTTCTTTACGGGTAAATTAGTATCTCGGGAACCACGGAGTCTAGGAGGCAGAAATTTTAGGGTAATGACCTCCTGCTCACGCTCGACCTTGCCTATTCAAATTCAGCGTTCCCTCGCTGCTGAGTATCACCTACGGCCTCGTGAGAATTTTGGCGGCTAAACTATTAACTAGGGGATCACGGAAAGATATTCATCCTTCT